AAGAATCCTATGTTCTGCCATGATTTGACTTTCTTTCATTTGTAATAGCTTTTAAGTGCCTTACATCATGAAATAACATGAACTTTGTAATAGCTTTTAAGTGCTTTACATCATGAAATAACATGAACTTTGTAATAGCTTTTAAGTGCCTTACATCATGAAATAACATGAACTTTGTAATAGCTTTTAAGTGCCTTACATCATGAAATAACTTGAACTTTTTACCCGAAACTATTTTCTGTTAATGTCGTTTCAAAGACAGTTAGTTGGGGAAAACATACAAATTAGATGATGCATTTAATTATAACCAGTCAGAAGAACTTGGGTAAAGGACAATGTTTTGATGAACTGATGTAAGTTCTGAATATAGTGGCCCTCATCTGTTTCCTCTTGGCCGATTGTCAATAAAAACTTTTTCAACTAAATTGTTTTAAGTGACACTTGATTGCAGTATTTGGAATTTAGAAGTTATTCATAAAGTTTTAAGAAAGTCTAATAATTTAAAAATTACAGAAAATAGAACAAAAAAATTATCATACCCTTCTTTAAAGGTTGTTATTTTAGGGTGTATAACACTTGGGTGGGCATGCCATTTTAGTAGTAATTATACTAATAGATATGCGATACAGCACCACAATAAGTCTTAATTTACATCACATCATTCTCAACTTGCCCACTGTGAGTTCCTAATATGAAAAATATATAGCATTGTATCAGTTTAACCTTGTACGTTGTTACCTACAAGACTTTTTAACTCATTACCAGAGTTTTTAATGCTGGCTAGACTACTTGAGACCTGTACTGGACCATTTAAAAAATTGTGTAATTTAAATTATAATCAGTTTTATTGTATTACATTCCACAGTACTTGCTGTTTGTGTGTTTTTGAAGAAAACTAAATGCTTATAAATGGTTTAAAGCTTGGAAATTAAGGCATTAATCTACAAACATTATTGGGAGTATATATCCGTATAAGAATTATTTTCATTAGTGATAAAGGTCTTGAAATTCTGTGTTCAGATTATTAATCCGAACCATTACTGATAATTTTATCGAAACTTGTTTCTCTGCCCTCTAGAGCCAAAGTCAGCTTTCTACCAAGAGTTCCTGTTTTAATGCTGACAAGAGTGTTTATGGACACACTAAGTGCTCCATTGATCCAAAAAATTTTAACTACCACAAAGTAGAAGATTCACGTAATAAAGGCTCCATTTTTCCAAATAAATCTACAAACGTCAACCCACCATCTAAATGGTACGTATAGATGATTATTTCTTGAAACTGGAGTTTTGGCTGTTAAGTGTTTCAGAGTAATAATGAGTTACTAGAAGATGCACTGGAGTCCGCTATAATGTGGTCCAAGGGATCCATATTGTGAGACTGCATTATAATGAGGTCCTTTCAAAAGTCCCAAGCTAATTGCAGAATAACAGATAAATTGATTAACAAGCGTGATAAACAGATAACTTTCAATATAAATTTGGGTGTGAAAACTATTTCCATGCTATAGTGGACCATGTTATAGCAGAGCCTAGGTGTAGTGGACCATGTTATAGCAGGGCCTAGGTGTAGTGGACCATGTTATAGCAGGGCCTCTATGTAGTGGACCATGTTATAGTAGGGCCTTGGTGTAGTGAACCATGTTATAGTAGTGCCTCGGTGTAGTGGACCATGTTATAGCAGGGCCTTGGTGTAGTGGACTATGTTATTGCAGGGCCTCGGTGTAGTGGACCATGTTATATCAGGGCCTTGGTATAGTGGACCATGTTATAGCAGGGCCTCGGTGTAGTGTCTATAGTGGACCATGTTGTAGAAGGGCCTTGGTGTAGTGTGTATAGTGGACCAGGTTATAGCATGGCCTCGGTGTAGTGTCTATAGTGGACCAGGCTATAGCAGGGCCTCTGTGTAGTGTCAATAGTGGACCATGTTGTAGCAGGGCCTCGGTGTAGTGTCTATAGTGGACCATGTTATAGTAGGGCCTCGGTGTAGTGGACCATGTTATAGCAGGGCCTCGGGGTAGTGAACCATGTTATAGTAGTGCCTTGGTGTAGTGGACCATGTTATAGCAGGGCCTTGGTGTAGTGGACCATGTTATTGCAGGGCCTTGGTGTAGTGGACCATGTTATATCAGGGCCTTGGTATAGTGGACCACGTTATAGCAGGGCCTTGGTGTAGTGTCTATAGTGGACCATGTTACAGCAGGGCCTTGGTGTAGTGTCTATAGTGGACCAGGTTATAGCATGGCCTTGGTGTAGTGTATATAGTGTACCATGTTATATCAGGGCCTTGGTGTATTGGACCATGTTATATCAGGGCCTTGGTGTAT